TACACTACATATAATTTGACAACGAAAGTCCAAGAAAGAAGAAAGCTGCTTTGCATAATTAATTGTCCACATATCTCAAAAAAAAACCACAAAAAATTTTAAAAAACAAAATGTACTCAAAATGATTAATTATCATAAGAAATGGCGGGCGAGTCATTTTGGCACTGCTTGGCGGTTCTAATGTAAACGAAATGATTGCGTTTTAAAAGGTGTCCGAACAGATTTGTCCGGTACCGTGTGCCCTGCCGTTGACTTCTGCCTGCGCTGAATATTAAATGAGCGATTCGATTTGCAGGGAAAGTCACTAGACGTAAACTGTCTGGACAGCCTAGGTCGCGGGGCGCTGTCGCTGGCTATCGAGGCAGAGAATCTGGAAATGGTCGAGCTACTCGTGGTGATGGGCGTCGAAACGAAGGACTCGCTGCTTCACGCGATCGATCAAGAGTTCGTGGAAGCTGTCGAGCTGCTGCTGGAGCACGAGGAGCTTCTGACTTCGGAGTGCGCGGCCAACGGTAAGAAGCAGCGACGAATGCTTGCCCCGGTGTCTCCGATCGTGCACAAGCAATTTTTTGAGATAAAATTCTCTTTCCAACAGAAACCGAGATCACGCACAGCTGGCAGAAGATCGATCCCGCATCCGCAAGATACCCGCCGGAAATAACGCCGTTGATCTTAGCCGCGCAACGAAACAACTATGAGATCCTGAAGCTGCTCCTGGACCGCGGGGCGACGCTGCCGATGCCGCACGACATCAGATGCGGATGCGCCGATTGCCTCAAATCGACTACAGGTGGGAGTTCGTAATCCAGTAATCACTGGACTGCGGACATTTATGCAAAATAAAAATTTCTTGCATCGATTGCAACAGATTGGAGCTCGATAAACATTTCATTCTTTCTTTCGTAATTTTAATTGATTGAAATTAGCGTGGTAGTAAAACGTTTATTTTATTCGCTTTTCAACCTATGGAATAGGATGAACATTTTTGCTTCTACAGGGTGTTCCAAAATTATAGTATTTACAGGAAATGGTGGGTTCCTGAGGTCATTCCAAGTAACTTTTTCCTCAGCGAAAATGCAATCCGTCGCTTCGATTACGAATTATTAGCAGAAAACAGTGGCCAATGAGAGGCGAGATTAGCTGGCGCGAGGCTGACGAGCCAGCAGTCGAAGTACAGTCCGGCTGATTGGCTCGGCCTCCTCGCGTCAGCATACCTCGCCTCTCATTGGTCACCGCTTTTTCTTAATAACTCGTAAACGAAGCCACGGATTGCATTTTCGCTAAGGAAAAAATTACTTCAAATGACCTCAGGTTCCCGCTTGGACAATAATATTGTGACACCTTGCATATTAATTGTAAAAATAAGATAGTTTGTGCACCGAAATTTAAGCGCATCAGGGTACCATAATTTTGAGACACTCTGTGTATAAAATTTACAATGTCAGTAATTCAGTAACTCATTTGCTCTTTCCCCGCCTTTTTCTCTTCTTCTTCTTCTTATTATTATATTCTTTATTCAGGTTGTTGCCTCCGAAGTTCCTCTCAGTAAACAATTGATTGTTCCTTTTACCTCTTCCATTTCTCAACATTAGTTAATTATATATGGTGTAGTTTCAATATTTTCATTACAAAATCTACATGCGCGTTTCCTTTCGCTTTCTTCCAGTAACTGTTTTCTCTTTCCTCGAAAGTGAATCTGGCTATCATCGACTGATCAAGACATTTATAGTTAGCTGATGAGTCCAGTATTTTCTCCCTAATTCGCGTTCAGATTGCGCCCAAAAATGGACAATTTGGGAAGAAGAGATACGATTATCCGAGCCTTTCTAAGTTGACGAAATATCACACTATGCTGAAGAACTGAACGAAGTTGTCCATTTTTCTTTTTGTTCAAGCTGAGGGTCAATTAGGGAGAATTTACTGTATAATGTTTTATTATAGAAATACAGTAATTTCTCCCTAATTCGCGCTCAGATTACGCACCAAAATGGACAATTTGGGCCTTATTTGAGCCATGCGTTTCGTTTTCATAGCCACCGATTGTCAAAAACTATAAAAACGAAACGCAAGACTCGAATAATCGTATCTCCTCTTCCCAAATTGTCCATTTTTGTGCGCAATCTGGGCGCGAATTACAGAGAATTTATTGTAATCTGCTTTGTCACTCTTTGTCACTCTCTCCTGTACAGTCCACGACAAAATAATAGGACACCCTCCAATTTGTCGAGTTTTTCGAAAGCTATGAAGCATTTAAGTAGGGGAGACTGGGGCTAGAAGTTCCGTGGGTAAGTTGTTCCGATGGTAATATATTTCAAACAAAGAAGAATCGCGTTATGCTATCAATTGTTTTGTAAGCGTAGGCCGATCGCGCCGCACCATAAACCATTATCGCAGCGTCCGCGACAACGAATTGTTTAGTTTTAGACAAAATGGTAGTCGCATACCAGGTAAATAAATATTTCGCAGTCGCTATTTTTTTGTCTAATTCAATTATTTAACGTCAATATCGTCTGTTTTGTTCTGTTCTTATAAATCAAATAACATTTAAGAGCATGTTGCAACAGCATTTATTAGAATATTTGAATGTATAAACAGAATATTTTTATAGATTGCCACACGTGTCAATTGGAGTTTCTTGTTCCCGTGACTCGGGACATATTGTTACCGTAACAACTTACCCCACCTGAAATGTACAAATAGTCTCTGTTGCGTTGCGATGCATATTCTAAATCACAGCCCAGGGAAGAATGGATTTAGTGTATGTTACGCAAGAACTGGGCTCATACCAAATGCATAAAGAAAGTAAATGCTGCATCATATATTTGTCCGAACTGCGATTCCGACGAGTCGTTCGTCGACATCTAATTTATTTCGTTTAAAAGGTTATTTCAATTAGGTTTAAGTAAAGTTGTTTCTAAATTATCATAATATCTTAGATTATTATTTTCATTTTACTACAATTAATGTTTGTGCCAAAGATAGTATATTTTTTTCTTTCAAAAATATATGTGTATCTCTCTGTTAATCCGAAGTTAACAAGCAAACTTTATTAATAAAGTTGTGTTTTATTTCATCAGAGAATGGAATATCTCATTGGAAAAATAACGTTTATTTCTTAGTAACAATTTACTCCAGAACGTTAACAACTTATACCCCATGACGAGGTAAGAAGTTCCGCTTGAGTTAACCTCAAAAAACTGAGTTTCTTATTGCGATATATTAAATTTGAGTTAAAAAAAAAAAACGATCTCTTAAAGTAAAATAAATTTAACAATGAATTAGTCAGAAACGAAAACAGTAACTGCATTGTTTCTTAGTCAATTTTCATGTTTCCTCAAAACCGGAACTTCGAGCCTCGGTCTTCCTTATCTCGTGCATAAGTACGTAAATAATTTACCTTTCGTAGTAACTTGTGAAAAAGCAGCTACTGTTTGCGTCGTCTTCCAGAAAATATGTTTGTTTATGTGAAAAATTACCTGTTGTAATATTTAAGTTAGTATCTCTCTAAAGAGCAGTCAAAACGAGTGATTTTTCGATTGTTATTGTCCTTTAAAACGTTCGGGTGCGTCGTCCCGAGCATTGTAAATGTTCCACTGAATAGCTTGATTAAGTGTTTCTTAATTTGATCAATAATTACTAATCAATATATAAAGAATACTAATCGATAGTGACTAATAATTGCCATAAAAATGGGACGAGGTATTCGATTACACGAAACCGAGATAAAAGTGATTTTGAATTAGAAAAAAGAAGGCATGGCTTTATCTATAACAAAATTAAGTTGGTATACACGTTATTACAAAATTTATTTTAAAAAACCCTTTTGAAATTATGGCAAGAGGAAAGGTAGAGATCGCCCAAGCGTTACAAACAACCGGGAAAATTTTGCAGTTTTAAAAATTGTATCAAATTCAATGTTAACTGCTTGTTAAATTACTCCTGGTGCAGATGTATCTACAAATGTACGAAATGTACCACATATATTGGAGAGATCTAAAAGTATTCAACACGAAGAAAACTGAAAAGAATGTCAGCGTTGACGAAGAAACACGTAGACGATCGGATGGAAATTGTTCGAGAATATGTGAGATAGAAGAAAAGTGGAGGAGAGTTGTGTTTTCAGATGAAAAAAGATTTATACTAGACGGACTTGATGTCTGGTCATATCACAGTAAATTCTCTCTAATTAACGCTGTAATTTTTGTGTACAAGCTGAGGGTCAATTAGGGAGAATTTACTGTAATTTAATTTAGGGTTTCAACAGTAGCAAATGTAGCTCAAAAGCTCTCTAAAGCTTCCGAATAAACTTTAAGTATGAATATACAAATATCTTTAATAGATTTGTTCTAAAAAAAAAGAAAATATTAATATTAATATTAATTAATATTATTACATATAAAAGTGCGGATTACGCAAAGCTCATCAACACGGCTAAGTGGTGAACAATTTTTTTTAGCACGATAATGCAGTCGTACTCGCTGCCAAAATTGTGAAAAATTATTTTCGTAGAAATAAAATCAAAGTTCTACAATGGCCGGTAAGATCGTCGGATTTAAATGGTATTGAGCTATTTAAGCCGTTACGTATTATCAAGATAGGAGACGATTTCATTCTTCGGAAAAGCTAAAAATCGCAATTGGGGAAGTTTGGAGTTCCGTTCCAAGAAAGTTCATAAAAAAGTTCTACAAAAATTTACCTAGAAGATTATTATAAATATATAATAATAATATAATAAATATATATAATAAGTATATATATATAGTAATAATATGTGTATAGTATATACAGATATTATGTATAGCATATGTATAGTAACTTGTGATATATATAATATGATAATATAATATATAATAATATAATATACTACATATAATAATAATAATAATATATATAATATAATATAATTATATATATAATAATATATATTATTATTATATTTATATTTATATATTATATGTAATATTATATGTATATATATTTATAATATTAGTAACATTAGCAATGTTTCTTAATTTTATCAATAATTATTAATCAATATATAAACAATACTAATCGACAGTGACTAATAATAATAGGATGAGTTATTCAATTACACAAAACCGAAATAAAAATGATTTTGAATTAGAAAAAAGAAGGCATAACTTACATATATATTGATTTATAATGTTATTATTATTTACAATATATTGATTCATGGCTTCTCAGATAGCACAAAGACGTCTTTAAGACATCTTAAGTGTAGAACAATCGAATCCAACTCGGTCAGGGTTACAAATTTGACCATCTTATCCGGCTGTGCCCTTCAACCGTACGAATTTCTTTTCATATCTCATCGTTTGATTAGGTGATCCATTGAGACTCTCGTCGACGAGGATCTCGGAGTACAAGGCCCTGGCTAGTCCCAGTCTCATAGCTCTGAGCTCGCCGGACCCTCTGATGACAGCGTTCCAACTGAGCTGGGAGCTTCGGGACTTGATCATTACGGAACCGGAGAGCAGGGCGGAGTACTTGAAGCTGCGGAGACAGGTGGAAAGGTATTCGCAACGATCGATCCTCCGACCAATGAGCTATCAACGCGAAGGCCTTCCTTCAACCGAACATAGTTCCATCTTTAGTTTTAGCTTGTCGTCTATCCTGCTGTCCACCTATCTTTCACCTAACCGAGCTAAATCCCCTGGAACGGAAGATTCCAAGTTCAGGCAGTAATCTTGCGTGAACTAGCCATCTTCATGTCGCCGTTCACGATCTATTGGGTTGGCAACTAATTGCCGATTTCAGTTATAGATGTCTCTCACTTTTATGATATCCGTAAATGTTATATTATAAAATTATTATTATTATTATTATTATTATGTTATTTTTTATTATCCGTGAATGTTAGCAACTGGACAAATTGAATGCAGCGGTCAAGGAAAAGCGACCAGAATTGGTCAATCGTAAAGGTGTCATTTTCCAGCAGGACAATGCTAGGC